AAAGAAACATAAGATTCGTTCGTATGTATCCCACTAATAAATATAAAAAAAGCTGAGTACTTGACGGACGATTACATTTTTCGGTCTTGTCTGGAACATTTCGTATTGGCGTAATTTTGCTATTGAGCATTTTTCGTATAATTAAGCCATTTAGTTATGTAATTATTAATTTGTAATTCCTGTTAGTCTTTGCAACTTGTCACCCTCTCACACCCTTAGAGCAAAGTTACGTAGGTCATTACATTAAACAAATAGAAAGGGAATATGAAATAGAAGAATAAAGATAGAGTGGAATGAATAGAATGTAAAGGAATAATGTAAGGGAAAGAAGGGAGGTGGAAGGCAAGATAAAAGAATGAAAAAGAGCAGAAGGGAAATAAACAGGAATGGTTGAAACAAGGGGAAAAGAAATACATGAGGTAGATGGGCGAAGAAAGGAAGACGTGAGAGGAAAAGAGGAAGCGTAGATCAGAGGAAAGAGGTGAAAAAGGCGAGCTGAATAAGAAATGTCCACACAGATTAACAATACTTGCGGCTTCCCTCTCCTGATGCTTCTAGAATTTGTCCTTAAATATCCTTTGAACTTAAAACAGGGCTATGTGGGGTCAGTGATCTTTGCATGGACGGGGGTGTTTGGCGCCTGTCTGCCTGGGGATTTGCCCTGATATTCTTATTTCCCATCGCAGAAACGCATGTAGGTTTTCATGCAAATTTCCCGTTATTGTTATGCGAATTTAATAAGAATTGAAATGTATCGACAAATAGTATTAAAATTCCGTGATATGACATCCGATTAAAACCCGGCCAGCTGTTAACGAATTGTGGCATACGGTCAGACATGGTGATGATTATATTCTCGCTTTTGAAGTTATTTGCTGACGCTTCAAAATAAAAGAAAGTTGTTGTATTTTGTTAACTTCCATAGCCACATTCTTGTAAAAGCGTCGCTCCACAAATTATTTTACAGAACTGCTTTTCTAACTGCGAAGTCTTGTTTGCATTTATACTTGAGGACCATAGAGTTTCACGATTGACGTTCCCAAAGAGAGGCGAGATGTGACTGAGATAAAACGCACTGAGCTCATATTTTCCGCTTTTATCTGAAATGAAACGTCTCCATGACTTATTTGTTGTAGACGCTTAAAGTTTATCACCAATTGCGTTAATATTACAATTATTTCCATGTTTAAAAAAGAATTCACGAGACCATCCCAAAATATTAGTTGGTAATTATAATATTTAGTAAGCTATTCGTGTTAATGTATTTTTTTTGAAGGGAAAATGACTCAGTATCGAAAAATTATCAAACATGACTTAAACGTGCCTCCCCTTTAGACCTTACGAAATTTACGATTAACAAATCGTTGTTAAGTGACACATGAAGCAACTAATCAACCAAGAAACATTACTATGATTTAAGAAAAGCGAAAATAAATTGTTTATAAGAATTGCTTTTACTCCGAAACAGGCCAAATTCCGGGTCAGAGTCTAAGTCCCTAACTTAGGAATGAGATTAAAATAACGTGTTAATTGATTACGGGGTTTCGCAAAAGTCATGGGGCTGTGTTAGTTGAACATGGAGCAATAATTTAATGGTGATTAGCAGGGAAACCGAAGAACTTGATCAGAAACTTGCACGTGGTTTCACTTCGTCCGCAACGAATCTGACCTGAGGCTACTATTTCATCGCCTGTCTTTGTCAGACTGTTTGAATATTTAATTATTAACAAGATCACCTAAATGGAAGAGAGAACTTTTAAGACATATACCTGAGTGTACTATTAAAATGGATCTTAAAAATCATGTATAGACTTAATAATTTTGGTTCACAAATTTTTCAGACGATTTAGAATATTATCAGTAACATAGAAGGTAGTATGTAGACAGAATTAAAGATGTAACGATTTCTAAAATTACATACACACACCTGTTTCCAGAAGAACGAGAGTTAGAGAAGAAGGCGAAATGCAGGACTTACAGGGAGTGGATTGAAATGCTTTAAAACTTCAGACAGGGTTTTAAAAACCCAGTCTTTATGAAGGAGGAAGAAGAAATCTCTTTGGTGAAGATATTCATACTCTAAAATGATGCCATCGTGAATAGAGCCTAGATTGTGTGCAATTCACTGGAGATGTTGCTTTCAGTCTCGGTGGCTGTGTCATCCTGAAAGCGTTTCGTAATAACCTCTTGCATCCAGTGCCCTAAATGGGTCGTGACTGCTACCTCCACCATATCGAATCGACAAACATTACAGTCTTCACAATGCAGCCTTAAACAGCGTAGCACAAGAACTGTTAAGATTTAAGTGGGTAGCATTGCCCGCAAACACCTTACTTGAACCAATCAATCAATAATTTATTATATGGCAAATCACTTCTATTATGTGTTACCAATATCAGATTTGTTTCTAATTATAACGGGATTTTGTTAACAGCAGTTACTGTTTGTTTTGTTACATTTACTATTAACTCGTTGGATTAAAATTGACGGCAGTTTTATTCAAATTGAGTAAACAGCGTTATGGACTCGGCCTATACATACCTTTAAAGGAAGAACATGTTTCTGAAATATTTTGAAACTATGTGATGAAGATTTTGTTTAAACCCAAGAAGGTTGTTGTGAGCGAGCGATGTTACATAATAATGAACTTTATGGTTTCCGGTTCAGAGGTCAAGAAATCTGCCACGTCTCCAAGATTCATTATCATGTTCACAAGAATACGATGTCCTGAGCCACACAAATCCAATGCAAATCCTCACGCCGTTTTCACTTAGGATTTATTTAAATGTTATCCTAAAAATGCATTTACCTCTCCCAAGTGGTCTGTACCCTTCAGGTTATAAGATTAATATTGTATATGCATTTCCTATTTTCCCCAGTCAGACTACATGCCCCGTCGAAATTACCTCTTTTTCTCTTAATTTGTAAGAAAAGGATATTAACATTATATTTAGTCCATACATTTGGATGGAAAAGCTTTATCGGAATGTAAAAGTTTCAAAGTTGAAGTCTATAACAAAGTTTCATGCAGATTCATAATTATAAGTTGGTACGAAAGTTATTAAGTGGGAAAGAGAAGTATATGGACACACGTATATGATGAGACAGAGAATTCTTTCGGTGTACAATAAGGACAAGAGGCGAAGAAAGGAAAAAATAGAAGCTCGTCTTGAGACTGGGGAATACAAAAAACTACTAGTTGTTGCTTTGCTTGCCTAAGGCTTATAGATGCCAGCAAGTCTGGAATCAAACAGTAAACCCAGATAGGGGGAGGACAGAAGGATGAGTCGTAAAAAAAGCAATGTATTCAGCCACAGCAAGGGTTGGTTGTAGGCTGTCTGGTGATTCTGTCTCGTAGAGCTGTGTAGGACGTATTGCAATTGGGGTCTAGGACCCATGGCGTAAGTTTTAAAGGAACGTGGATCATACTTTACGGACAAAATGGGCACAACAACAAAAATATTCATTTCATTCGTGAGACATTTTCCCCTTGTACTCAACATATGGCTTATTGGGATAAATACTTCGTTTACTAACGTAAAATAACATTAAACTTGATGCATACTTTCAAATATTTTCTTTAGTCTGTTTAGCGGACTTTCGGATGCAAAAGGAACTATGCAGAGGAAACTGTATCTTAAAGTTTTGATAGAATTTTTATTACTAAATATCATACACTTTAGTTGTATTTATTCGAAACGTCAGTAATACGGACCGAAAGACCGGTGTTCAACCCCCTACAGGGGTAGAGAATGTTTCCTCTAGCCGCTTCGCCCAGACCGTCTCCGTGGCCCACCCAGAAACCTATCCAGTGGTTTTAGGGGTTCTTTCCCGGGGGTAAAGTGCTGCCAGGGTGTGATGCTGTCCACTCACCCGTATCTAGTGCCGAGGTCAAGAATGAGTAGGAGCTATGCCCCCTCCCAACACACACCAGCATGACGTATAGTGGGACAGTTTTACTTCAATTTATTGTCACAAATTCTGCAATGTTATAGCATAACTTCATTTTGCTTGGGCAAAATAAGTTCAGTTTCATAAAATATAGTCGCTTTAAGCCCTCTCTCTGTGACTAGGTTTTAAATTGCAGCAAGTTGTGAAGGTCGTACAGAATTGACAAGGACTGAGGTTGCTGACTCTCGTCTGGGATGCGTAACTGCAGGGTGACAGGACGGGAGATTGGGTGCGGGCGGAGGGAAGCAGAGAGAGTCGTCCCTTCTAGTTCCCAAACGTGTGCAACCCTGGAATGGAGGTTAAAAGGTCAATGCGGCGGTAGAGGGTCGTATCTCTTCGTTTGTAGCCACCCTGGTTTTAACCGCCGTTAATCAGATGGGCGATACTCTAACTGGTACAACGAGAGTAAATTTTTAACTTTTGTCTTTTGTGTGTTATGTGTGTGCGGTAATTCTGGATTAGCTTTTTCCAAGTGACCCTGCAGATTTACATTGTAGAGTTTTACCTGATGGTGAAAGCAGAACCATCTTCCAGAACACTGTAGTTTTTAAAATTACAAAGGAAAATGTTCACTAATTTGCACTATTTTATATATTATATTATTATAAGGTTAATCTGAAAGCCTATGCGAATATTCCTGTATGCTTCTTTCCTTATTTATTATATCCTGTAATTTATCTCCTGTTACTGGCTTTAAGAGTCTAATCTTTGGTGCGTACATTGTGTTTTTCTCCCCATTCATGTCAAAGTTTTAAGTCTCGGGTCTCTACTCCAGCGTCTTAACAGCCACGTAGACTCGTGTAGCTTCAGTTTTGTTCTTCTTGTTTTCTTCCTTCAAGTTTTATGTATTGTTGTGGATTCGAGTCTGATGTTAGTAAAAGACCGTTATCGTGGCATACGGCTTACGTATGTAACCTCTGTTACTGCCCTTTCTGTAAATCAGATATATTTTCATGCTTCACATGTTTTTTGAAACTGTTGGAAACTGGATATTTCCAGGCAGCAAACTCCTCACGTCTAATTCTGTGTTTGTGCCTATTTCATTTCAGACTTCCCAAGATCTGCTGGTGGTCTTTCTGTTGTGAAAACATGCGAACAGACTGTGATGTTGATGCAGAAAGACAGCATTAAGAAGTCACCAGAATGACGTCATGAATGCTAGCGATATTTTTATTCATATAGTCCTTTCGAAAATACAGCGAAGGAAATACGAGGGTGATATATATTGAGTGAAGAGTGTGATGTGTGACGTGAATTATTTTGACATGATCCTTGTTACATAGCTCTACGAACTTTGTAAAATCTATGACATGGACTGACATTAGCCAGTGACTTAATAATACGTAATAATACACTGACACTGTTGTTATTCAAAATGTTACTTAACTTTTAACAGCAGAAATGAGTTCAGCTCATATTAAAGTTTGAAGTAGTATTTGTGAATATGACTTAATGTTTTCTGAGTTAGATACCGTGCTCATGAAATAAATTGAAAGCTGTGTGACAGCGTTATAAGAGTACATCTGTACTTAACAAAGTTTAACGTTCGTTTAACTGACTGGAGACTAATTAGGTATTTTAACTGATCATTTAGCACTCGTGTATAAATGCTCACTGTTCTGACCCGTCACCGTGTGTTTACGTAGATTTGTCGTATTGTTACAAACTTTGATTAAGAAAAACTGTATGAATTATAGTTTTAAATTATTAGACGACATTCTTGCTTGTGTGTGTGTACGTATATAAACAAATTAAAACACCATAAATATGTTGAAGACAGTTTAAATAATTCTTCAGTTTAAAAGTGGAAAATTTTTATCTCCATTTTATTTCAATCTGACATTTTTGAAATCTTCTTTCGGCGATAAGACATTTCTAGACAGTCTGTGTTGGGATCATTAATATTTATAGTTTAATTCTGTCGACGATAGCGAGAAAGTTCTAGAGAGAGAGACAGGAGATCTGTTATGTGAAAAGGTGTCCGAATATTTCTTGAAATTTGCGTGAACTGTGATTCATACTGTAGCAGCTTGTAAGAATTTTGATCTGTATGCGCAGACGTATCAGTACGATAATGAAAGTAAGGCGGGAATTTTACGGGTCATAATTTAATAGTTGCTTTTACAAAAGAGCAGATAAAATTCTTAAAGAAATAACAGGTAATACTGTTGAGTTGTCCCAGTGATTCAAGCGTCCCTTATATTTTTATTTCTTATTCTAAAATAATTCCGATTTCGCAAATAGTTTAATATGTAACAATTAAAGTAATGGAGGCAGTTTAGAATACAATTTTAAAGAAAGTGATAAATTTTTTTTAAGAATAGACGCTAAATGTAATTTAAACCCGTAAATTTTAATTTATAACTGAATATACGAAGAATATAATTTATAAATTTATAATCAACGTAAATAGTGATCACCATATAGGTTTTTAACACGTACAACTTTGATATTTAAACACAGTGACAATTCAGTTTAGAGGACTACAGTGAATATGTTGTGTGTTATTGTGCATCGTGTTTTATTTCGGTAATTGTCCTGAATATCATGGATGGATGTACTCCGAGACTTCCTGGCCGCAGCATCACTCGTAGAAGGGGTCGCCTGCAGCGCTCGGAACGGATCTGCGAGCCCCCAGGTCCGCACTTTGCATGGGATATCATCATCAGAGATTCTCTCCTCCAGATAGCATGGCCTATGTCCCTCAGCGCTGATACTGACAACCAGTGCAGCGACAATGGAAACGTGAAGCTGAGGTGAGTAGCCTGCTTCTTTGATATATCATTTAGATGGTAGAGTGTTTATTTATTTTGTTTTATAAGTATAAGTGTAATAGCTAGTGAATATAATTTCTTTAACTTTCTCTGATTGACTTTTTCATGAATTTAAATACGTCCATCCCCATAGCATTGATAGAGAAGTTATGTAATACTTTTCAGTGGAAAGAAAATATAAAATCAGAAACGAGATACCCGAAAATGAGACAGAAGATACACTACAGGAAGTTGATAAAATTAATACCGCAGTAGTATAAAAATTTTTGCATGAGAATTATAGATTTTTAGAGAACCTGAAATGAGGATGTTGCATAAACGATCATGGACCATGGGCAAGGTTGAGAAACCAAGTGGTGAGTGATGTACAAAGGACAGCAACGAAAGAAAATAGACAAAGAAACAAGAATGCTTGTACGATGATAAGGAATAATGCAGAAGGCTTTCTCGCAAGAACGGCCGATACTGGTAGAAACGTCGGTTGGTAATGGGAGGAAGTGGTCGTGACATATGTTAAGGTGATGTCATGGAATTATCGCTCACGAGTTGAGAAAATCTGAAAATCTCTCGGATATAAAAAAAAATTCCGGACAGGATTCGAAATGAGTTTCTTCCGAATACTAAAACATTAATAAATAATGTTACCGTTGCCTGTAAAAAGTGCTCGCATAGTTTTTTCGTAGCCTCTACTGACCACTGTGTGCGTGCGTGGCAGTGAAAGCACTGACTGGACTTGTTCTGAACGGGCAAGGAAATTAGCAGTTGTAAAACCGCGACGTGAGCTGAAACCACGCGAATATTTCCTGTGAATAATTCCGCGCAAAAATTTCCTAAGACCTCGTTAAACACTCTGATTCATACATCTGCCCTTTGATGCTAAGAAAGGAATCACCTTAAAACTAGATCAGATTAATTTACACTCCATTTAGAATACTAGTACAGTGTGTTTACTGACGCAGTTCTGTGCAAATATTCGTACTATATATAACCACCAGTCCGAGTGTATGTCTTTATTATTTTATCTGTTTTATTTATTTTCGCATTAGTTTGTATATCGTTTCTTTTGTTTTGCTTCGCCCTTTACACGTTTCTTTCTCCCGTATCTGCTTCTCGCTGATTTATTCTTTATTTCTCTCTTTATATAGCTTTTTTGTCTTTAATAATCTTAATTATTTCCCTTATTCCAAACTTTTATGATGCATTCACTTTTCTCGGATTGTTTCTGTTTTAAGTAGTCGGAACATGATGCCTCCATTTCGAGTGGTTTCAGTCAGTGCCCGTCGTTGTTATTAAGGACGGGAACTCCGTCATTGTAACTTTCCTATTAATCTGGCATCGTGGCGTAATCGTGTGTTACTGTTACGTAGCCGCAGGCCACTAATTAGATCACTACTCCGCTCAGCATAATACTTCTCTCTTGTAGCCACTTCTTGAAACAACAACACAAGAGTTAATTAAATTACAGCTTCTATTATGAGCATCCGGAGACTAGGTACTTTCACTACAAGATCAAGAATTTTTGTTTCTGTAAATTTTGCTCCAATAACTTAGCATGATGGAAACGGTGATTGTGTTTATAAGGATGTGAATGTTTAGTATAGAGATAATTACTTGTGAGAAACACTATTTGCCAATCATTATTAGAGGGAACTCGTAAACATTTGTTTACGATCGTGCCCAGTGCTTGGCTTTGATATTAGCGGTGTTGAAGCTGGGGTCTAGAAAAAGTTATAATTAGATAGTTATTTAGTTAATAGTATGGAATAAGTTTACAAAACTTCGGGAGTTTGTCTAGAAATTTTATACAAATTTATTCAGCAGATTGTGAAGGTGGCGTAGCATTTTGTAGTTTTGTACAAACCAAATTCATTCCTTCAGAATACATGGTCTCCGTACAGGAGTCCGGAAGTAATTATATGTACATATATATACTTAGTCATAACGTTCCTGGTTTCTCGATATATGGTGGTGGCATTTTACAGCGCAAATATTCGATATGCATTACCTCTTTCCTTCGGGAAGTCATCTTTTCAGCCGAGTTACTGCACTATTGTGCAACGCGTACAATGTCCACACACTTTTGTTAGTATTTATGGGTTTTTAACGATGTTTTCATAGCGCTGTGCGATGTGTGATCAATGAATAATGCAAAGAAATGCTCTAATGCGATCCGCAGCGTCAGTTAAGAGCTTGAGTCCAACTTTTTAAAAACATAATTCTCTGATGGTGGAGACAGAAAAGGCCTCAGAAACTTTCGAATTTTAGAGTCGCTGCAGAAACTGTACGATTCGGAGAGGATATGGAAAATAGCTGTAATTGCTTTGTGTAAGGTATTATCCCGACATTTGCCCGGAATGACTGAGGAAAGCCATGAAATACCTCAATCGGGATATCCAGTTTTGGGGCCAAGGTGTAAAACCAGAACATCCCGAATATGAATCAGGAGTTCTAACCACTTCGCAGAGACGTTCAGCCCTACTTGTTGTGTATCTTGCGAACAGCTCCAAAAGAAAAAACTCTCATATTAGATTTTAAATTTTTTAAATGTGTTGTTAGTTATGAATATGATAACGACGTACGAGAATAATTTTGATTTCGATGTCCATGTGCGAAAATAAAAAAGACATTGAATTTTAAAACAATAAAAATAATAAAAAACATAAAAAAGTTGTGATAGGTCATGTGCTTTTATATGGTTGTAAAATCTGGGTCACAAGACGATTAAACATATGTAAGATCCAGGACATATGTCTAGTCAAATTTGATTGAGTTGTTGGTTACTGATCCGTAGACCCGATTTAATAACATGTCTTGATGATTGACTATCGAAATTTTTATGCCGTTAGTGACTTTGTTATATATCTATGATGCTGTAATTGCCTTCCACTTAAGAGTTTGGTGTGCCCGAGGGAAGCCTTTATGAGATACCCAAAGGAACACACTGAGCTCTGTGTCAGCAGGTGGCAGATTTCCCGGGGGAACGCGACTTCTCTGCTGACCGCAGGCTCAAGAAAAACACGGAACTGGAAGTGAAAGATAACATCAGTCCTTGTGTTTATACACAGTTACCAAGTTTGTCTCTTCGCTCTTCCTTATCGGAGCCACTAAAAAAAAATTTCTTCCCTTTTTATGTTTATTTTTATTTCTTTAATTCACCCATGATTCTTATTTCTTCGTTTTCGATCATTCCCTGTGCGTTCTCATGTTTCAAAATTTTAAAATAATTATTTCGTTTAGTTAATATATCTTCTCCAAAATTTGTTATTTCATGTTATGGACAGCATATCCTGGCCGTGACGCTGACCACTCACCCCTATCTAGTGCCGAGGTTAAGAATGCGTAGGAGCTATACCGGCTCTCCTCCCAAACGATCTACTTGGTGTGTAGCGGGATTGCTTTTTTTTATGAACAGTATATGGCTCAGAAATTATCGTGTTGCTACATTTGTTCCCCTCAGTTGCTGCAGTAATGTGCAGAATATTGCGTAACGTATTGTTATTAATTACATGCATAAGTCTTTATTATTTTTATAATACGATTATTTATTTACGAAATTACTGTCGCTTGGTCACGCCTGTCGCATGTCTCATCATTGGGCTGTGGTGGAGTCGTAGTTAACATGGGAAACGGATGCTGCAGTACCTTCTCGTCCGTCACTAATCTCGCCTGAAGTCATGTTAATATTGGTATTGATATCTAAATTGTAATCTGAAAATTCAAAATGGTCGTTACTATATAGGCACTCAGTCCATTCTTTCTCCTGGTTCAGTGTGTATGTCTGCACGTAACTGGTTATATGAAACATGTCTGACGTATTGTAAGGGTAGCTAGAAACACAGACTTCCCAACATCGGTTTACGAGTCATCACGTAAAGTTGAAGATAATACTGGACTGAAATAGTAAGAGAATATAAAGTTTAAATAAATATTCCATGTACGAATATCTTTTTTCTTTCTTTTCAAATTTCAAATTTTAGTTTAGGTGTTTCTTCCTTATTTTCTGGACACGATATTTTAAGTATATTTTTGTTCCTTTTACTGAAGTTTTGTTTACTTGTGTTATTGATTTCTGTGTTATATTTTTATCTGCATGCTGCTGTCCAAAATTTGCTCACATTAGTAACTGCGCCGTGCTACTGCTGCAATATCTCCGACACAACTGTGAAGCACGTAGTGTAGAATGTGATCAATATTATTCGCGTTGTCACAGAACTTGGCGTATCATAAGGCCTTGAAACGAGACTTACAGTCGATCTAAAGAAAAGGGGTTAAAACTGAAATGTGATAGTTGCTTTCATATTTTGCCGAGAGGGAAGTAGTTCGTTTTATAAATGTTGCAGTGAAACTGATAAAACCACTTAAATATTTGTTTTGAAGTGAAATTAGGTAACTGCATGTTTTAGCAGCGATCGGCGATGGTATGATTATGATTTATTAGTATAATCACTATTTATGGTGAAGAAAATGCAAGAATAAAGGAGAATAAGAGAGGGAAAACGAAAGGGATAAACAAAATAGTCAAACTGAAAAGAAAAGCAAGCAAAAAATTAGGAAGAAAGCAACGAACAAAGAATAGTAAGTGCAGTTATGAGACGCCATATTTATGTTCCTGAGTTAAGGTACATTTAAAATTTTATACTTGCCGTATTCAGTCTTCCCACGTCTCCATGTTAACGCATATACTATACACTGTATACGTGTACACTCAGTCTCTTGAATACAGGAAAGGGATTGGCATTTTTTATTCGTTCCCAGAAAATATAGGATGTATTTTATTTTAAAGTTTCGTGTAGCCATCAGAATATGAGATTCAGATATTCCATAATTCATCAAATACGGAATAAAATCGCATTTTAGCGACTGGTATAAATAAAGTGTCATAAAATATATTATACTTGATTTTGCTTGTATTTCGGTTAGGGTTTGCTAGTCAGATGTGTGGTTCTAGAAAATCCAGTTGTTGTCACTGGAGCGTGATACGG